GCAACCGTTATGAAGTCAGACGCGGCGGTGATGCATGCTGGACAACAAACTGATGCTAAGCACCAGTGCACCGTAGGTGTTAAACAAACTGCAACAATGTGTAGCTGCATTGACGACCGAATTTGGAATGGAAAAACAAGCAACTGCGGCATATTTAGCCTAGGATTTTTCCTCCGAAATTATTTTCACACCTTAATTTGATATATTCTATGACAATACTAACACAGTTCTGTTTTACTCAGTAATTTTCGAGAGTTCGCCTACAGTCCCGCCCTGACTCTCGGCGGAATGCTGACAATCCAGCCGTGATAACAGGGAAGGAACCCATAGGAGGTAAAGGTCGGACAGGCCCATTGGTCTGTGGGTGGACTATATTGGATCACATCATTACTCTAGCCTTCCAGTTGATTTATTCCTACCTCCAGACGCCCCCTGCTTGTCAAGCAATAACGAATGCTCAGCTGTCGCTTTCAAAACTAGTTAAGTTCCTGTAGGCTCCTTAAGAGGACTAGTTCGATGTATACACCAAGACACGTCGGAACGATTTACATTAACACATCTTTCTAGAACAAAACAGCAATAACTAATGATACAAAGTATGATCGCGGTAGTTTAGAAGAACACGAAAATGACATACCGGAAGAATTGAAATCAGTAGACAGGTAAGAGTACTATCGATTCACCGATGCGTCATAATAGAACGCTTCGCTGCTCATCGAGGTGATTGATTGTAGGACTCCACGCATGAAACCAGCAAATAGCCGTCCAACTGTTTCGACCGCTTGCTGGCATCGACGGAAGTCGATGGTATGACCAAGCTAGTCTCAAGTAGACGCAGTATAATCAACTAAAGTACAGTGATGTAGACGGATGACAAATGTCCGGTTAATATGGCAAACTTGTGCTAACTCTGTACAGAACTTCCGTAACAGTGCCTCGGGGTCTGTTACCTGGGGCCAGCTTACGCATCTCTACGTTAAGCACTTGGTGGTACCACCGGATACAGGGAGGGATGTATAGCTAACTATAGCGAACACACATCTCAGGGTTAAGCTGGATCAATTGGTTCCTAGAGGGATAGTAACGAAGGATTCGCTTAGGATGCAGCTAAATATCATGTGTTGCTCGCGCTCAAGGCTACAGTATTGCGAGCGGATTACACCGGACGCTTATCCTCTTCAAATCTAGTTATTCCAATTGACCGAATCGACCAAGGTTCATCTCAAAGTTAACTGTGGTTCAGCTTGAGATAGTGATTCGCAATCTATCCACCCAATGAATATTTCAAAAACCCCATCTATCACTTATGACACACTGCAATCCCATTAGCTGCTGTACGTCGTCCGGTATCTAGCTCACTGCATGACGGTAGACAGGTCAACGAGTTCATGGGAACAATTATTCCACATAAACCAGAAAGATGCATTTTCCTCTTAATTGTGAGTAAACACTGCATTCGACGAATGAACATTCAACTAGCGCATACGCAACATCACTTAAAGCGCAAGATTTCATGTCATGGTTGTCATTTTCCACTCGTGGAGGCCAACACTAACTCTAACATTGTAAGCATTTATCAACTGTTACAGTGAAACAATAGAAAAAGCAAATCTTTAACAACTCCCCTGGGTTGCTCAATGGCATAATCGAAAAGGCATGCAGTACACAAACAATTGTAACGGGCATAAGTGGAGTGACAGGATAATGGTGCCTCAGAAACAAGGTTGTGGATGGTTCATGGTTGGGTCTTGAAGTACCTGCCTTGTTGTGTCTGGATTGTAGCATGCAATCTCGATTGAGGCCTCGGTTTACTTTGAAGCAAACCTCTGCCATTCCAATCATTGTGACCGCATCCGAACTGGATGTGGTAGAGCATCAGGTAAAACGAAATAAAAATTTATGAAGGTGAATGCTTCTTACTACGAACAATCGGGTGACATACCCGACCGCACCGATTTGCTTTCATCAATACTAATGATAATAATGAAAATTCCAAATACGCACAGTCATGGGACACTCAAGAGTACTGCAATGACCTGAGTGCGAAGTACCAACGCATCTCGAAGATATCCAAGTAGACTGCACATGTAGCTGAGTTTGAAAGTGTCCCAGAGATGGTTGCTCCGAAAGTAGAAGTGGTTTCATCAGTATCTTGAACAACTATATTGTTATAGCTTAATGTATACTCATGAGCAAAGAATTTTGATGTGATTAATTGAGTGCATTTCGTAGCAGCCTTCCATAGAGTTAGTCCTACACACGCACGGAATTCCAGCACTGGTCACGACTGACGGGTGCACGTGAACAGCAACGGAAGCAGCCGGTCTCTTACGGTTCCATTACTCACAAAGGTTCCAGAGAATAACGGACCGAACGGTTATCCCTGTTTCTATTGTCCCACTATCAGCCTTATCTAATATTGCTTTACTGCAGAAAGTGTGTCAAAGAAAGTGTCGTCGCTGCGTATCCACAGCTCTCCTGGTGTCGATAACATTCGACCGAATGCCCTATAGGCAGCAGCCAGTGATCTGGCGGAACCACTGGCTATATTTTATCAGCACTGAATGAACGAGAACCATATTCCATCAATTTGGATTCGAGGGGTCATCACTCCTGTTCATAAGGGTGGTAGCTGCACTGACCCAACAAATTACCGTCCTATAACGCTACTCCCTGTGCTTTCCAAGGTTATAGAGTCTAGCATCCCAGATGCACTCATGCAGTATTTGGGAAATCATAAGATGATAGCACCAGAGCAACATGGTTTCCGACAAAGGAGCTCATGCACTACGAACCTGTTAACTGCACCCAACAGCTGGACTTAAGCAGTTGGTGGTAGAGCAGGAGTTGATGTCATTTACTTGGACTTCTCAAAAGCGTTTGATCTCTTAGACCACCGAATTCTTCTCAATAAACTGCAACTCTATGGCGCTGGTGACCCACTGCTGCGTTGGATAGGCAATTTCCTGCATTAACGCCGATTGAAAGTGAGAGAACGAGAATCCCTGTCCAACGCAATTGAGGTGGAGTGCGAAGTGCAAAAAGGCTTGGTTCTCGGGCCCCGTCTATTCTTAATTTCATAAAGAATCTGGCGAGGGAAATTACGTTCGATTTCCTACTCTTCGCAGATGATATCAAGTTATGGCGAGCGATCAAAGAATCGAACGACCACGAAAAGCTCCAGCGAGACCTCAACACGAATTCAAACTTGTCAGTTCAGAATACCCTAGCGTTCAATGTGGAAAGATGTCACGCTGTTTAAATGCGCCAAATGCATGGCTACGTTTGTAGGCTTGGGTCTCCTGTATTGCAAACAACTTCCCAAGAACGCGACCTTGGTTTGCCTATTCAAAGTGACCTAAACTGTACAAAGCAGTCAGAGGTAGCATGCGAAGAGCGCCAACCAGCACGTCGGCTTGCTGCAGAGAGCATTTGGAAGATTCGACCCATCCATCTTCCCCATGATGAAAAGTACCTACGTGCGCCCTCACGTTGAATACGCCGTCCAACTTGGCAACGTTGGTTGAAGCGCGACTTAGCACTACATGAGAAACCACAACGCACGGCCACAAAGAACGTCAAAGGCCTAAGAAATCTGTCCTACCATCAAAGGCTGAAGTCACTGAGAGTTTTCAGTGGCAGCTACCGAAGGTTGCGCAGCGATCTCATATTAGTCTACCAAATATTCAGTGACCCTAATCACGGATGCCGTCACATGCTGAAAATCAACCATAACACCAATCGGAGGTAATCCTCTGAAATTCAGTGAATAGTTTAGCCGCCTGGAACGCCGGCGGCATTATTTTTTATTCTGGTTTTCCAACCCTGGAACTCTGTCCCAAACAGTTGTTTTCTCCCCCACCTTGGATATTTAAAAAATGATTGGATCTTGCCATTGGCCCCCAGCACTTCGTTGCCTAAACTGTGCAACTTCGGACTATATTAATTTTCCCTTCATATCAGATGAATATGTCACATAAACAGGAGGAGGCAGTAAAGAGGTGAGTACAACAACTATAACTGTCCCCATATTTTCTCGTCGTTCAGATTCAATTCTCACTTACACTACTATTATTCAGCAGCGTATCTGCTAGCTAAACATTTAAACAGACAGCTCACTTATCTTTTGATAATTTTAGTTTTACCCCCACCGTCCTGCGGAACATGTCAAGCACCTGCTTTTTTACCCGACATAAATCCTATTTCATTGTTCATTGTCCTATCTGAACTCTTCAGTAGTGCTCAACCAGTTTATCACTCATAACAACGACTATCAGTGGAAGCCGTGTTTACGAGATCAACCCTGTTCTCTTCAACATTCGTAATTTACATGGCAATGGGGGACGAGTTGCGCTACGTCGCAGTCAGGTTGCAGGTCATGACTCAGTGGTATAAGCTGCTGACAAACGGCGCTTGCAGCTAATGGCACTGGATTAAGATTCCGACAGATTTGATGGATCCACAAAATGACGTCTCGACAGAACAAAACGGTGGTCTACTGTTGTGCGTATGTGGGCAACTACCTAACTTTGAAGTTGCTGCGGAGGATTGTCAGCAAATAACTGTAAGTAGTTGGCGGATTACTGTTTGGGCTGAGCTTCTGTTAGTGGCGTTATACGTGACTGGGATTGCCAAGTATTTTGTATGTTATTATGAGGTGGGTCATGAGGCTATTTTAGCATGAGAACAGCAAATGACTTGCGTTTGTCCCAAAATCTTGCTCCGTGCGTAGGCAAGTTGACGTTAGCATCTGTTTTTCTTTAGGTCGGTGCATGTCAACTCATCAGACACACGGCGAAGGATTATTAGTCTCGTTCAATGAGCAGAACGATTAATGACTGGGTTACACAAAAATGCACACTATGAACTGACTTTTTGCCTCCCCATAAGTTATTCTCATGCATTCGTAACAATAGATCTTTTAGTACTAACATCATTCTACAGTTAGCAAATCGATAACGGCTCTGCATATCGTTGAAGAACTGCTTCCTATCTTACAGATTCAAGGCACCTATCACTGTCCTTATTCCGCGCACACAACAATGCACGTGAGCAAGAACGAAAAGCAGTCTACGAGTACTCAAAGACGGACCGAAATACCACATTAGTTGATCTGTGCACACAAGGTGAACAACTCATACAGAGAGATGATCCGAAGAACCGCTCCTTCAGTTTGGATGCTATTAAAAGTCCCCTTATTTTGGAATTGATTGAAGACTTGGATTTTGGAAATTCGTTCACTACACACAGCTCTACTCTTGAGACCCCTCTCCTCTTACCAGAAGATGAAAAGCTCCTTGAACTAGGGCAAAATGAGAAAACAAGAGGCTCAAATTGCAGCGAGCTTTCTGCGCAATACAGCTCGCTTGAGAAGTTAGTAACTTGCCAACGACAACACAACGATACCACCAACAACCAGGACGGTTTTTGGCTGAGTGCTAAACACTCGAACATGCCAAACGGTCTGTGGTCTACCGAAAGAAATGGATCGACCAGCTGTTCCAAGAATTCTGCTAGAAAATTTTCTCCAACGGGTATGACAGCCACGCGTAATCTGCCGATTGATTACAGTCTATTTTATGGTAAGTCACCGTGGTTTTCACAGTTGGGTTTACTTCGCTTGAGCTCTGCAAAAATTTATTCCATTGGATTCGTTAGCATCTGGTGTCCACTTATGGTATCCCTCAATACGATTCGACGTGTCAGCACCTTAATTGGTTTATTTTATTCCCGTCAATGCATGTCGTTCCTCTTCACATGCACGCGCTTTCATCAGATTGTGTGGTTGACTCGAAATTGAGTAAGCATACCCCACGATTTCGCCTTCATAAAGATGTTATAAAAGCCTGCATACTAGTGAATACTGCGATGCGACTGACCCAGCTATAAATAAAACTGGAATTCATGGTGAAATTTACTCGGGGCAGTGTTTGGCTCCAAGTTGAGGTTCTGACTGACTGAACGACACTGGACATTCAAGCAGCATCACGGCAAGTAATTTTATTAAGGTATCCCAAATGTAGCTGGTGTTGGACAGCTTTAGTGTACGAACAAAATCCAAACGTGCGGGAGTGTTTTGTGTTTCAGGTAGTTTCGTTTACCTGCGAAGAAATTACACAACCATAAAATAAAAATGTATACTCTCAATGTTACCCGAGGCAGGCTAAAATAGTCATGAACATGTTTATACAAACAAATATGCGACGATTACAACTCGATCCGTGATTAGTCTTGACAAAATAACTGCGTAGTTCATGAGTTCCACGACGTGAAATTTGGTTGTCATGTATGTGAAAAGTTGCCCTCATAATGCACGTTCCGGAGCAAACTAAAATGAAACCAATGGGGACAAACACGATACGGTTGTGATTATGTGTGATATGCCGGCAGATGTGTTTACCAAACCTAAAGAACCTACCATGGGAAGAACAGCAATTTAAGTACAACATTAAAGCTTGACGTACAAGCCACCTAATGAAGTAAAGGATGGTCTATCACTTTTGGATGGACGCTGCAGCAAGCAGCGTTTGTCTGCCTACTCTTCTATTACTAAACGGTTTATGTAGTATACCACGTGTCTAAAAGGTTAAAAGCTATAGTATTACTGTGAATACAATGAGCGCGTGCATTCTGGCGGATCAGACATGGTGTAGACTTGGTGACAATGGAACAGTGGTTTTATGCGGGTAAAATGTTATTGCCCAACAGGACGCGTAGGATGGTCATAGGGAGTATTGCAATATGTAGAAAACTTGTCAGTATAAGTGTGTTTATATTAGTGGACTTACCGCGATCTACGCATGATAACTTTTAAATCCACTGTAAGTTAATGAAGGGTGACAACAAGTGGGACGTTTGTAGACGTTGGGATGCCTCCTTGTGAACAGATACAGAAGGTGAAAAAGGTGGAATGTACTCTGAGATTTGACCTACAGTGAAATGCCTAACGGACACTCGTCTTTAGCCGTGGACAATGATTCATGTGAGATTGTACAGAGAGGTGTGGGAGCACCGATGAAAGGTTCCGATAGGACATTCCACGTTTTGCAAATGCGTGTGGAAAAGAAATTCCGACAGCATTTCAAATGACTGTACTTCTCTGCCAGCTTGAGATGGTGGCCACTCAAATTACTGTTGTGACTGAGCATTAGCAAATAACGACACGTGTGATTGGGATCCATCAAAATCTGTTTACGTCAAAATAAAGTTCCCACGCAATTGCCGGTGTTGTCGGCTGAAGATGCCGAGCACTCGAAGTCTTTGGTCATACGGTAAATGACACAAACCTTTGACATCCTTGGTTGCCTGGGCTTGGGGCATCTCCAAGAAGGCGAAAACTCTCACGAATCATGGCTGTCAGAGCTATAGTATGTATTTCTCATGTAGGCGCATGTATGGGCCGAAATGCCATTGCAAAATAGACGTGTCGAATTGTCCGAGTGCACGCCTCAGGAGACCCACGTAGTTCAAGTCCCATCTTGATGCTTTTTCAGCCTCCTTGGAATGTCCAAAGTCGGTCTGACCAAAATGCTCCAATCCTTTTCGCCAGAAGGCGCCTGAATCTCTCTATTGCCGAGTATGTACGAGCACGTCAGCTGGTGCCGTAAGTGCAGCACTCTACATATATCCACATTAAAGCGAAGTAGATTCTGCATTGACCACGTGTAAAACCTAACCAGGTCGGAGTGAAGTCGTGTGATGTCATCTGGGGTTTTGATCACCCGCCAAACCTTAATGTCATCGGCATAAAGCAAGCAGTTCGAGCTTATAAGACGGCTGATATCGTTTGTATATGCCAAAAACAATCGTGATCTTAGTAGCGATACCTGTGGTACTCCGCATTCTACTTGGATGGGATCATACAGGGATACACTCACTCGTACCGCCAAGCGCCGGTGTAGGTGAAAGCTTCTGATGCACCCTAGAAGAGGACCAACAATGCCAAAGGTCTGGAGTTAACAGAGCCGAATGTCGTGGTCTAACAGGTCGAACGCCTTTGAGAAGTCAAGAATAACTACATTGACTCCTGTGCTAGTGTCAACGGCTTTGCTACAGCTGGATTGTGCTAGCAATAGATATGTAGCGCACGATCCATTTCCTCGGAAGTCATGATAGTCCGGTGCAAGGTAGTTAAATTCTTACAAGTAGGCTATCAACCCATCCGAAATACTAGCTTCCATGACGTTTGAAAATACCGGTAGTAAGATTAGGGGACGGTAGTTAGCCGGCTCGGAAGGAATACCTCCCTTATGAATAGGAGTAATCCTCCGGTGTTTCCACATGTAGGGCGTGTACGACGGTAGAGTAATACGTTTCCGGGTGCAAAAGGTTTTACTTTTTACAAGCAAACGAGCCTTAAATTTTTGCGAAGCACTCTCCACCAGAGTTCAGGTGCAGCCCCATGATTTCAAACCACTTGGAGAAGCAGATAGACCATGCCGAAGCGTGTAACCCATCCAGCAGCTCGATAAAGGGCGCTACTACAGCTTCTGGAGACTCTTAGTGGATTCCACGCATCTTGCATTTGACATTTTGGAACACAAAATTCACACGGAACCAGGCCTGGACGGTAGGGGGTAACCAACCTCCTGGGTGCGTTCCCTAGCCAGAAAATCTACGACGATATGGGACCTGTGTGCAGGCGCATAACCATGGTGCAGCAAGTCCTTCGTGCTCCAGTCCTTGGACGATGCCTAACTATAGCTTCCAGCACTTGTGGCAGAGAGTGGGTGGCATACCAGTCTCTGGTGATTGTGAGTTGCTGTCTGAGCGGTACAGTAGCCACATGCCCGGTCTTGGCTACCAACACGGCCACCAGCTGCTTGGCCAAACTGTGCTAACGCCGGAATTTCTGTGGCTGCGCCCTCGCCAACGGCCGTCCACTGAGCCGATTGCTGCTTAGTTTCTGGGTCGAAAATGTACACCCAGGTCTAATCACTAATGAGCATCTCCCTGACAACATTGGAACGTCCATCGTCAAACTTGGCAAGGAAGGTGCGGCACCATTTCGTTTGAGCTACTTTCTGATCGTCACTGAACTGATGGGGTACCCAGCTGGCGCAAACCTTTCTGAGGCTTAAGTTCTCATGTAGGATGGTGCGGATTGATGCTGACGAGATCCTGATGGCTTTCCCCGGACGTTCCACCCAACAGTGCGTCCTCCTCTAGCCTCGCTTGCATAGCACCAATGTTGTCCTTGGTGTCATCCACAGGATGACCGCACCGTGTTTCATCAGCCAAGGACGGTCTGCCGAGGTTGAATTGCACAAACCACTCCAACACAGTAGTTCTTGAAGGAGCAGCAGCACAAAGCGCAGCACGCAACTGCAAAATACTCTGGTGATGCATTAAACCGCATTTGTAGTCAAAGCAAACCATCGCCATCTAGTGCGATCGGCTGAGTTCCATACTTATGACTTCTCAGCTTGCTAGGCTGCTGGTATAGAGTTCTGTGAGTTGAACTCATCGAACAATGTTCAGCGTGGCTTACCGTTCACCTTTTTCTTGCCAGGTCATCTGCACCTAAACTTAATGCTCTGCCTTCGTACAGTTCGTCAAATAAGTGTTGGAAGAATCGGGCCAAAGGCTATTCAAAGCTTTCTCCTACTGCCGCAAGTGACTTTGGGTAAACGTTATCCACACCAGGAGAGCTGTGCTTACGCGTACGCAATAAAGTTTTTACTTCACTTTCTGCCTTGAAGGATATATGATTGCATTTTGGTGGTGAGACAACCGTTACCACAGTGTTAGGTGGCCACAGCTCGCACTAAAATATTGAAGCAAGTTGCAGGCGCAGGGTGTTCGCCACATCCTTCTGGGCCCGTGTCAGTCCGTCCGCTGTTTGGAGAGGTGGAATTCCCGTTTTCATCTTACCTACACTCTATACCTGTTGATACAGCAGCTTGTGATTTGAGACCATGCGCACCGCCAAATTCTGTTGCTAAGCCATTTTATGCTCTCGAACAAGTTGGGTACAGAAGTTACCTCGGGTCACATGGGCCATCCCCTCTCGGTGCTCGGGGAGAGTTTATAGATATGCCAGGCCGAGTTTTGCACCGATATTCACTTACACATCCTGCTTCGCTCAAACGATACCACATTTCTCGAGTGGATGGCTTTAGTTTTTGATGTTGAGTCGTAAACTAGCTGACGAAATGTTGTCATGCGCCAGCCGTTGCGTCGAAGACAAGAAAGTTTCAGTTGGTTGTCTCATCCAGTCGCGCTAATGTTTCGTAGCACATAATCGTCCTTGTTGTGTCGGTATTTGCCAGGAGACATTCTGTATAACAAATGTGTTCGAAGACTAATATCATATGATCGCTGCGGCCTAAAGGGACGTCGACCATCACCCTCTCAAGCATCACCGCTTCGTTGATGAATATCCGATCCTGTATAGACGGCCTATCAGTTTCACTGGATCTGATGGGAGTGTTTATGTAGCCGTTCAGCGGGAAGTCGGAAACAACCTCTTGGCGTTTTTAGACGTTCTATTGCATCGGCGTGAAAACGGGATTATCAAAAGGAGTGTTTTTCGCAAAGCGACATGGGTAGGTCAACACACCCACTTTCTTAGCTTTCCACCACTGAGATACAAGAGGAATTTAGTCCGTTGCTTATACCATCGTGCCAGAGCAATCTGCAGTCCAGAGACGCTTGAAAGCGAAAACAAGCTCATCTTTAACACGCTGCATGAAAATGGTTACCCCATACCTTT